TGTTTCAACATAGCCAACTTTCAATAAATCCTTATCAGTCTCTTCAGAGTACTGTTAATGAGTCTGAGTTTATGTGGAACATGGTTAAATAAGTAATACATGTATAAAGCTCTATGTCCTACTCTCTCTAACCTACCTCTACTGCTATCTCTAAAAGATAACTTTCAAAACATGCTTAGTGAAATGGTTGAAAGTAGTTAGAAAATTAAAAACACTTAAAAGAATCTCTCAAATGAAAGAGCTTTAATTCAGAAATGATTTAGTATATAGTTCTATGACATACATAAATTATGCATACATAAATAAACTTCAAAAGAGTTGATAACTCTTAAAATCATATAAATGGACTGTTTAGTAAATAGTGCTAGGAAAATTGACCATGTTTCTGATAAAAGTAGATTTTTAAATTCCATATTATATCCAAAAATAAATTTAATTTGCCTTGAGGATCTAAAAACATCTTTGTAAAACTAGAAGTATTTACATATATAACTTAAAAAATACTGAGGACAATATGACCTTTTAGAACAAGAAACATAAAAAAAAAAGAACAAGAAACAAAATTCTGACACCACAAAGGAAATGATTGACAGGCTTGCTGACCTGTCAGCAAGCAATAAACTGAGACCCTCAGTCCAACAACCATCCAGGAACTGACCCCTGCTGCCATCCACATGAGACTGGAGTCAGTGCAGATTTCAGAGAGGACCCCAGCCTGGTGAGAAACAGGAGATCCAGCTAAGCTATGCCGGACCTGAAGCAAAAAACTTAGAAAAGACTAACATGCTTCTTTGAAAATGTGGTCATTTGTTTTGCAGCAATACATAAGAAATACCAGATACAACTAGGCAATTTACAGGAGAAAATAAAAATAATTTTTATTCATAAATAGAAATATATAAAACTTATTCATTCAACATACTATATATTATCATAAATGTATATTATGTAGCATATATGTTTACATAAATATATTGCATATAATATAAATCAATTTGTATAAATTAATGTATTTTATAAATTATCTATAAATGTGTTACATACTTATATAAATACATAATTTTATGTCTTATATATGTACATAATTTTATATTATAAAATATACTTGATATTTATGTATTAAAACACTATATACTATAAAATATTATATATATTTATTATCGAGTATATTTATTTAACTTTATATATTATATAAATATATATTCATGAACATATATTATTAATGTAAAGCACATTTATAAAATAAATGTATATTTATATAATGTAGATTATATATTAAAATGCAAAGTATACATAAATTTAAAATTTTATAAATATACATATATTCATAGATTTATATTTATACAAATTTTAATTAGTATTTATAGTCTATATTTTATTATATAAAATACATTTGTATAGATTTATAAATTACATGTAAGTATATTTATATAATTTACATGCATATAAATTTTATACATACTTAAACTATATAAATATATTTAGATATATATTCTATATTTATAAATATTTACTTATATACTTACACGTGTATTTTATATAAATATTTGTTTATATAATCCATAAATTTATGCAAATATGTTTTGCATTTTACATAGTAAACATAAATCTATTTGTATTTATAAAATTTTAAATGTATATAATATATAAATATATGTTTGTATAAATTTATAGATTATATAGCTGTATTCATACAATATAATGTTATACAAATATGTTCAATATTATATATAATACATTATGGAAATATACCATAAAATTTTATATATGATATATTTATATATAATGAATGTGTATAGATAAATTTATACAGATATATTTATATGCTGTATTAAAATATGGAATTTTAATTTTATTGCACCTATAAGTCGATATTACATTAGTAAATATATATAATTAATGCTGTTAGTAGTTAGGAACCATTGTGAGGATGGTGCAGTGTCTTGTTCTGTTGTGCATAGGCTCACTATGGATTAGAACCAGTTTGATGGCTCCTAACAATGACATTAGTCCTTAGGAAAAGGATGCATACCAATTATAATGAGATCACAATCTGTGCGTTTCAGGTTAGTCCAATTGCTAAAGATTGGTAATTTCTTCTAGAGGCTAGATTGCAGGGAACACTCTGCTCCCATACAGTGTTGGGAACAGTATGAGTTGTTAAAATTGCTTCATTGAAGAATGAACAGTTTCACAGCACTTTTAAAGGTATAGAGACCTTTTGTTTGGGCATTCCACTTTTAGGAATCTAAGCTACATATGTGCAATAGTGAATGTTGTACCGAATACTGTTGTTGTTGTTGTTGTTTGGTGCCATCTAGTCTGCTCCGACCTGTAGAATCTTTATGTACATATAGAGAACAAAACATTGCACGGTCCTGAGCCATCCTGCAATTGTTCCTTTGTCCTTATATGAGGCAATGGAAAATACCATGGCTTGGGTCAGGCACACATTTATCCTCAAAGTAACATCCTTGCTTTTCAATACTCTAAAGAGGTATTGTGCAACAGATTTGTAATACAATTCTTCTTCTTTTTTTAAATCATTTTATTGGGGACTCTTACAGCTCTTACCACAATCCATATATCCATCCATTGTGTCAAGCACTTTTGTACATATGTTGCCATCATCATTTTCAAAATATTTTCTTTCTACTTCAGCCCTTGTTATCAGTTCCTCATTTTCTTTCCTTCCCTCCCCAACCCTCCCTCCCTCTTGAACACTTGATAAATTACAAATTATTATTATTTTCATATTTTGCATCATCCACTGTCTCCCTTCACCCACTTTTCTGTTGTTCATCCACCTGAGTGGGAGAGGTTATATGTTTTGTTTGTTTGTAATTTATTTATTTATTTTTTTTTCTCCTTACTTTTATTGGGGGCTCTTACATCTCTTATCACAATCCATACATTCATCCACTGTGTCAAGCACATTTGCACATATGCTGCCATCACTATTTTCAAAGCATTCTCTTCCCACTTGAGCCCCTGATATCAGCTCCCCATTTCATCTCCCCTCCCCCTGCCCACCCTTATGAACCGTTGATAAGTTATAGATTATTATTTTCATATTTTACATTGTCTTCCATCACCCCTCACCCAATTTCCCATTGTTTATCCCTCTGGGAAAGGGTTATAGGTTGATCCTTGTGATGGATTCCCTTTTTCTCCCCACACCCTCCCCTAATCCTCCTGGTATCTCTACTCTCATTGTTGGCCCTGAGGGGTTTATCTATCCTGGATTCCCTGTGTTGCTGGCTCTTATCTGTAGCAGTGTGAATGTTCTGGTCTACTCTGATTTGTAAGGTAGAATTGAGGTCATAATAGT